GCCCCGCCAGCACAGCAATTTTTGGGTCGCGCCAAGGATTCGCAACACTTTTGGGACGGGCAGTATAGAAACTAGATGTCTATATATTTAGCAATCATATCAGCATCGTTTGGGAATCAAAAAAAATCTCTTAGGGTCTGATGATACTTGAAAAGAAGATAAAAGAGATTGCACAACACATTCTATCCTCACTTTATCAAGAGTCCTCAAGCCTGATGACTGACACTTGAGTCTATTACCGATCTAGAGGATAGCTGTTCCCTCCTTCGTAGCCTGGAGGTGTACGGTTAATCCATCATCACGGCCAGTCGTACTCGATCCTATCATGTTCTTGTCAACTCTCTTTCTCAAGCCTATATCAATCAACGTGCAAGAAGAGTGTACATAATACGTGTTCTATCATCTTGTCTAAATAAGTCTCCCCCGATGGCTCAGCGGTCTAGGGCGACCTCACAGACGGGACTATGATGTAAAAGGTAACTTTCTTTCTAGAAGAGTTCCAAATTCGATTCTTGGTAGTTCTCATGTGGCACTAGGTGATTGGTGATAATAGTGACCTCTTACTTAGTGTCACCTCTTTTTTATATTTTTTACCTTTCTTGTCTTTTTTCTTGACTCGCTGACTCGAAACCAGATCTCAGTGCAGAGTCATCGTTTGTGATCGGGACTCCACTTGGCTATTAGTCTACAGCATAAAATGACTCGAACAAGATAAATCAGTATGTCTGAGAGTTCTTGATCAACGGGGTTATCTTGTAGATCTCAGAGAGCTTGATCACAAGGTGATCTAACCTGATACGCTGACAGGATCAGAGATGAAGGACGGTCGATATCCTTTTTCAATCTTGTCCGACTCGGTCGACTTTAGATTAAACCAGACCAAAGGACAAGAAGAGATGTAGTTAGTGTAAAAGATGACAACTGACGATGTCGAATCCAGACATATTATTAGTAAGTATGTGGCTCCGTTATCAGCTGTATCTCTCTCTAACTCATTGAAAGTGGTAAGGGCGGTGCAGAGCCAGAAGTGGACAAATTTTCGGGAGCATGAGAAACGGTCTAGTTTCGGTATTCCTTAGAAAGCTCGAGTATAGCCAAAGCATTTTGTTCTTGACGACGAACCGAGTATCTAATTTTGATGATGCAATGAGGTATGAGGCTCTGTCGAAAGATTCCAAGATTCAAATTTGGAAGAGCTTCTTGGCAAGGGCCCCTGCCAAATATGGACCAGCGAGAGTGAACAACAAAGAACTTGACCAGCTGGCTGCCAGGAGCTCAAAATGGTCGGCAGGTGAGTACTCTGTCATCTCAGTGGTCGAATGCTTTGAGAATGAGGCTGATTGCTCTAGATTAAGAATCTTATGCAAGCACTCAGGCTTTGGCAAGGAAGAACAATTCACCTCTGACGTTCTTGCATCTGGAGACTGTGATGGAAATGAACGAGAAGTTTTTCTTTGAATTTAATGGAGAAGAACATACAAGAAGCGTTTTCATATAAATTGCAGCCACAAGGCTTATTAAAGGCCACTAGTTCTTTTGTTGAGCTGTTTGTCAGCGAGAGGTCAAGCAGTGCGTACTTGGCCATGAGGCTCTCTAACCCAGGCGAGGAAAAAGAGTTGACACTGACATGCTACGATCATAATGTCGATGATAGAACTACACATTATTCTGCAGAAATGTCTATGAGCATAATGATATGTGCAATTTGATAAAAACATGAAAAACATGGAAAAGAAGGAAAGAAGAATGAATAATGTGTTGAATCGCAATACAGGTTGTTAGGAACATTTGTTAAGTTTTTTTCTAACTCGCTTGAATATCTCCTTTGTCTGGTCTAGCTTGCCTTGATCACGATACAGAACGCTGAGATCATTAACTGTGCAGAGAGTTGAGGTGTGATTAGGTCCAAGTGCTTTCTCGTATCCTGCTAGTGCTTGCATACACATCTCCTTTGCCTGATCCAGCTTGCCTTGATCACGATACAGATTGCTGAGATTGTTGACTGTGCAGAGAGTCGAGGTGTGATTAGGTCTAAATATTTTCTCTCTTCTAGCTAGTACCTGTTAGAGCATTACTGCTGTTGCAGTGAGCTAAACTTGCTCCTAGAGCAGTTATACAATATATTTAGTTTTCTTAACTCGGTCATCTGTAATCTTATTAAGAAGACCGGCTTTAATAAAACGCGTGCATACTGTACGACTTAGTCGTCTACTGAACTTTCACAAAGCAGTACTCGACTAGTGTTCTTATAATGTTTTCAAAGTCAACTAGGTCGCTAGTCGCATCAAGAAGCTAATCCGCCAAGTCGTCGTTGACGCCAGCATAAAGCAGTTCACACCACACATTTTGGTGGTCAAAGTAAGCCAGCAACTTAAGCAGCTTAGCCGCCTCAGGATTATCGTTCTCTAGACGAGTATATAATAAATGCCAAGTCATATATAATGTGTGATCTTGATATTCCTGAAGCCGGAGTAGTCTTCGTAGATTAAGGTCTTATCACTTTTCGTACTCCTAGAGATATTGCTTAAAGCTCAAGATGCTCTTGTAAAGATATGCCCTAGCTGTGACTAAAGCTAACAGAAGATCTCTAAGCCTTTTAGTAAGACGACAGGCCTAAAAATCTATTAATAAGAAATCAGTACTTGTAGAATGCGGTTATTTATCCCCTCTTACTAACTTAAATATTTTGTTACTCTAATCTTATCTCTAAAACTTACAAGCTTTTATTAACATGCTTAAGAGGTCGAATACGAATCGCTTTTCTGCTGACCTGATCTAGCTAGCGCATCATAATAATAATTAATTTATAAGTAATAAGAGGATAGTATTTTCTGATATCGAAAATGTCTAGCTTATCATAGTTATTAAGATTAATAGCCATCTAGTATTAGCTATCTCTGATAATCATTAGCGAACATAAAGGAGGATCTACTTATCTTTAAACTTCTCATATTCTGTCACCTCTATAAACCGTTCTGCCATTAATTACAGACTCATCCTGAGAGCAACCTCTAATGTGGCACTTAGCTAGAAGATTGACTCATACGAGCTGCAGTAGCGCTAAGCATAAGTAATAGCGAGCTATGTCTTGCTAATGCTGCCTATATCGCTGAGGATTAATTGACGCTGTTCTCTAGATTAACTGCTTTAGAGGATCTCTTTTATCCTCTCTAGCTCAGAAAGGCGTCTAATAAAGAGGTTCAGGTCAGTTATAAGAGCCTCTCTAAAATACAGACCTAGCTGAAATGCTAAATATATATTAGTTCTTTATAAAATTATGTATATATAGCTAGCTTTTTTTCTAATAATTAGTATATAGTAATTATTAGTAATCTTAATATCTATAACTAATAAAGAGAACTTATATAATACTATACTTTTAATAATATTTTGTGTCTATATTACTTATAAAGCTAAGATAATTATTAATAACTTCTTTATATATGCTAATATTATTACTATTATATATAGCTGCTATTGCATATTCTTGTGCGAGTTAGTATAGTTATAGATGCCGCAGATAACAAGATGTAGAAAGTTGTTTATTAGCCTGGCTGCTTTGATCTTTATATATAAGATTTTTATATCCTTCTTTAGCTTATTATATATTACTAGATTCTTAATAATAATATTCGCTGACCTAATTATACTATAATATATTTGTGGTTCGTTATCTAGTTGAGTAAGGTGAGATACTATTTGTTATTAATTACACAGGTCACAGGTCACGCTAGGTTAGTACATATAGGATGCGAGAAATAGCTGATCGTGGTCGGCAGTTAGGAACGAGTATCAACTCTGCATTTTCGGGTTTCTGTGTATCAT